GGCCTTCCTTTTGCCAGAAATTAAAAGTTCATTCACATATTCTAACAACTGGGTCCTGGAAAGTTTGAATTCCTCCAGGACTAAGATTTGACAAAATAAGTTTGGTGCTTCTGTGAAACCTTGTAGCAGAACAGTCCAGTGGTACTGTTGTTTTCTCATTTCTTTTTTGCCTATGAACATCCAATTACTCCAGCACCATTTGTTGAAAACACTATCCTTCCTCCACTGAATGGCTTTTGAATCTCTGTCAAAAATCAGTTGGGTATATTTGTGTAGGTCTAGGTTATCGTTGTCCATTTCACTGACTATGTGTCCATCTCTCTGCCATTACCATACTGTCTTAATTACCCTGGCATATAATGAGTATTATATTTGATTAGTGCTATGGTTTGGCTGTGTCCCCACCCAAATCTCATCTTGAATTGTACTGCCCATAACCCCCATGTGTTGAGGGAAGAAACAGGTGGAAATAATTGAATCATGGGAGCAGGTTCTCCCATCCTGTTCTCATGATATAAGTTCTCACGAGATCTGATTTTATAACAGGCTTCCCCCTTTAGCTTAGCTCTCATTCTTCTCCTTCCTGCTGCCACGTGAAGGACATGTTTGCTTCCCCTTCCACCATAAGTGTAAGTTTCCTGAGGCCTGCCAGCCATGCTGAACTATGAGTCAATTAAACTTTTCCTTTATAAATTACATAGTCTCAGATACGTCTTTATTAGCAGCATAAGAACAAAGTAACAAAGGTAAAATGACCCCTCTCACTTAATTCCTCCTTTTCAGAATTGTTGTAGCTACTCTCATTTGTTTTTCCAAATACATTTTAGAATAATCTTGCCTGTACAGGAAGAAGAAAAAAAAAAAACCTTGCTGGAGTTTTAATAGGAATTGTATTAAACCTGCATACCGATTTAGGGATCATTAACATCTACACTACAGTGAGTCTTCTAATCCTTGTACATGGTCATTTATTTAGATCTTTGATTTCTTTCATCAGTGTTTTGTTGTTTTCAGCATGAGTCCTGTACATGCACTGTCAGATTTACACCTACATAGTTTTTATTTTGAGCAATTATGAATGCTATATTTTTAATTTTGGTTTCCATGTATTCATTGCTAGTACATAAAAGTACAATTGATTTTTGTCTATTCTCTTATGTTCTGAAACCCTGCTGAGTTTTTTAGTTCTAGAAATTATTGTGTAGATTCCTTAGGACTTTTTTTTAACCATGTTTTTCATTTCATTTTTTAAAAGTTCATTGGTTCAAAAAATTGTTAGATTGAGCTGGGCACGGTGGCTCACGCCTGTAATCCCAGCACTTTGGGATGCTGAGGTGGGAAGACCATTTGTGGTCAGGAGTTCAAGACCAGCCTGGCCAACATGGTGAAACCCCATCTCTACTAAAAATACAAAAATTAGCCAGGTGTGGCGGTGGGTGCCTATAATCCCAGCTACTCAGGAGGCTGAGACAGGAGAATCACTTGAACCCAGGAGGTTGCAGTGAGCTGAGATCATACCACTATACTCCAGCCTGGGCAACAGAGTGAGACTCCATCTCACACACACACACACACACACACACACACACACACACACACTTGTTAGATTGTTTAGTGTTCTAACTGCTAGATATAGAGGTAACTAAGAAAATTAAGAGGTTTGTTTTTTGACCTCATGAAGCTTAGATTCTAGAGGACAGAAAAAGGCTGTAAACATATAATAAATGAGGAGAACGGTAGGAAAAGACACAAGAGCAACTTTATGGAGGGCCTTAAAGTCAACAGTAGCCATTTGAATTTTAAGATGATAAGCACTGGAAGATTTAAAATAGGGTAGTGAGGCTGCTCTGCCTATGAAGTAGCCAATGGTATATTTTTAATTTTTAATTTTCTTTTATTCATTTACTTTCTTAATAAACTTGCTTTCACTTTGCACTGTGAAAAAAATTAAATGAAATAGGGTCATGAGATTAGCTTGGTGTCCATTTTAAATCATTAAAACAAAAACCATATCAAAGTGGTTGGTGTGTTTCTTTCCTGTCTTATTTTCTTTACAACTTAAAAAACGTATATGAACATAAATTTCATAAAGTCAGGGATTATTTGTAATTATTTCATATGATGGTTTATTTATCACAGTCCTCTCTATAAAATCAGTTTGCTTTTGATTCTATAAGGTGGTATAATATAAATTTCCTAGGAGAAAACTAACCTCACAATGACGTTATTGCAGTTGGCCAACTCTAACCACTGCTTTTGGAACTGCCTTTTCTCTTTGCTTATCACAAATATAAACACACACACACTTTTCATCTAATAGTATGATGGAAATTAATAGAGACTCTAGAGTCAGACGTGATTATTTTTTTAACCTCCTTTGGCTTCAGTATCTTATCTATAAAATGCAGCTATTAACATCTACTTCCAAAACCCTGTTTTGAGAACCAAGGGTAAAGTATAATATATTGAGTTCCAGGAACACAGAGGTTGCTCAATAATCACTCCCTATCCTGTGCTTTTTCTTCTTTCATCCCCATCACTCAGCTCCCATTCTCAGATCTAACATATTTGTAAAACCTGTAATTAGCAATTGAGGCCTTAGACTAAAACTTTATACAAAATTTTAATGCCCATTACGATAGCACCCACTAATCCAATGATTAGTGGCATGACTCACTGCAAAAAAAAATCTTCCACAGACTTCTGAAAATATTTTAAAATGTTAAAAAGGACCATGGTATTATTACAGAATTTTTAGTTATGCTATAAAATAAATTTAAAGTTGGCCACTTTCAACTGAAATCTTATAGAAGAGAGTATTATACACATTTGTTTAACTAATGGCAAAAGAAGGAAATAAGTTTTGAATATCTTGGTATAAAAACCTAATATTTCATTTCATGCATCTATCATTCAACAGGTATTTTTAAAATACAGTCATGGTGCTTTTGGAAGTCTAATATTATGACGTTATGTAATTTATATGAATTAATAGCATTATGTTCTCTTAGACATCTTATTTTGTAATATTTAATTTTTCAAGACCTAGTATTAACAGAAAGAAGAAAATGTTATAGACAATTCAAAGTAATCTGTCAAGTTTTAAATTTACCAATATTTTTTTCTTGTCTACTTTGGAATAATCACTTCACTGGTACCATTCAGCAATCTTCATTCATCCTGTTAGTTTCTTAGCACAAAGACTAATTCCAAATTTCCTCCACTCCACCTCAAATCCACGCTCCTTCTTAATACTTCCTTCTTAATAGTTTATTTTCTATATTATTTTTGTCTTCCACTGTGGCATTATTCCCAGTAAAGACAAATATCTCTGTACCTTCACCTCCTGCCTATTGGAAAAACGAAAGTTCCAAAATCATTCCTGTCTCTAGCATGATGGATAGATCAATTACCTCAATCCTCTTTTATCTTCGGTATCTTCCTACAACTCAACTTGGTCTTAAGTTCCCTTTTACCCAGCTCCTGTCTCCTCTAAACCACTCTTCGTAAGACTACCATAATCAACGTGTTAAATATGTTAGTATAATCGTGTTTGTAACTTGGTTAAAAAAAAAACAAAAAAAAAAAAAAAACCACTCTTTAGCAAACTGAAGTAACAGAATTTTGTTCATTTTTCTACGGGACATTTTAAATGACCTATTTCTTTAAAGTTTTGTCTGTATTACAGGGCCTTAATGTCTAGTTTCACAACTATATTAACTAAGCCTGAAGGGCGCTATATAGTTAGGCAATATTTTCCAATATAAAGAGCTCTGATTGAAGTTCAAACTCTTATTGTGAATCTTTGGAATTTGGCATGAAAGAGAACAAACATGATTGCATCTGTTCTTCCCTACTTTAAACCATCTTCAGTGTCAACATACACAATGAGTTTTGTGGTATTTCCACCTGGTTTTCTATTTTCAAAGTACTCTTTTGTATGACACAGGAATAAAAATACTTGAATTCTAATATGCCATTTTCCCTTACTCTCCTCACACTTTTTTGGACGGCTTATAATTTTCGATATGGTACAAAGGCTCACTAACTGGTTTTTTGCTAGAGGCCTGCTACTGATACTGATGGCCGCTAAATGCTAGGTATGCCGCCGGTATTGCTCTTACTTCAATACCGACATCGCACGATAAAGGCAGTGGCATTTAGGCGCGCAAGCGCAATTCTTGATTAATGAGCCAAGGCAAAGTCTTCTCAATCCGAGTTTTGAGTTTTCCTTACTTTTCCCCCAAATGCTCTTTTCCTCGGATTTCACATCAATAGCACTTTCTCGAGTTTTCACGAGTAACCTGTCGCAGGCGGAACCGACGGAGACTAGCCGGCGAGAATCCTACGGTCGCAGCCAGCTGCGCAGCGTCAGCCGGGGACGCTCCGTGCGGAAGACCGCCTGTGACTCGACACACTCTCCAGTGACGCGGTAGTCGCCGCACCTGCGCTGCGGGGCGGGAAGGAGGCTCGAGTGCCGGGGGAACGGAGTCTACGACTCCGGGCGGAAGCTGGGGAAGCAGGGAGGGAGAGAGGGAAGAAGAGAGGAAGAGACGGGCGGAGGGGCGGTCCTTGCCGGAGGTTCCTAGGTCCTTCACTTCCTGTTTGCCGGCACTTCAAAATCCGGGTCAAAGGGTGTCGCTTCGGTCTCTTTTACCCGGCTGATCCCAGCACCCTCCGTGACAGCGCCTCCTGACTCAGCCGACAGCCGGCTTCTTCTCACGATCTGCTGAAGCCTGGACGCCCACACCTGACCCGGAACTCGGAGGCGCGCTTCCTCCACCCACCGGCGAACAGCCCCGGACCCTGAGCGCCCGCCGACGCCGCCGGGGGTCCCGACAGGCCTCTCCGCGCTGATGCTGAGAGGGATCGAGGGCCCGGGGCGGCGGCGGAGTACGGGCCTCTGGCGCCTTAGGCCAGCCGCAGGCGTCGGTTCTTACGCTCTCCAGGCTCGCCAGCTCTCGCCCCAGCTTGGATGGGTCTCCCTGCCCCATAAATGTGGCTGCTGAGGCGGCGGTGGCGGTGGCCCGTCACGCTGCTGCTGCGGCGCTCCAAGTTCACCTCCGCCCCGGGGCTCTCCTGCCCCACCTCGGGGCTGCCGCCACCCGCTCCTTATCCTCTGGCCCTGGCCTTGCTGCGTGGCGACAATGGACAAGATCCTGGAGGGCCTTGTGAGTTCTTCGCATCCCCTGCCCCTCAAGCGGGTGATTGTGCGGAAGGTGGTGGAATCGGCGGAGCACTGGCTAGACGAGGCGCAGTGCGAGGCCATGTTTGACCTGACGACCCGGCTCATCCTGGAGGGCCAGGACCCTTTCCAGCGGCAGGTGGGGCACCAGGTGCTGGAGGCCTACGCACGATACCACCGGCCAGAGTTCGAGTCCTTCTTCAACAAGACCTTTGTGTTGGGCCTCCTTCATCAGGGCTACCACTCTCTGGACAGGAAGGATGTAGCCATCCTGGACTACATTCACAACGGCCTGAAGCTGATTATGAGCTGTCCGTCGGTGCTGGATCTCTTCAGCCTCCTGCAGGTAGAGGTGTTACGGATGGTGTGTGAGAGACCGGAGCCGCAGCTCTGTGCCCGACTGAGCGACCTTCTGACCGACTTCGTGCAATGCATCCCCAAAGGGAAATTGTCCATCACGTTCTGTCAACAGCTGGTTCGAACGATAGGCCACTTCCAGTGCGTGTCCACTCAGGAGAGAGAGTTGCGGGAATATGTCTCCCAGGTGACAAAAGTGAGTAACTTGCTGCAGAACATCTGGAAGGCCGAGCCTACCACACTGCTGCCTTCTCTGCAGGAAGTTTTTGCAAGCATCTCTTCCACAGGTAAGGGTCATTATCTTTCAGAATATCTCATAAAAATTCAGTATATGTCTCTCTTGAACACACACATTCACACCATGTTTTCCTACTGCCCTGAAAACATTCTTAAGGGAGAGCAAATCCTAATACCCTTATCCCAGATTTATTCACATTCACTACCTTATTCAGGACGTCACCTCGTACTTTAAAAACAGGCAGCGTTCCCATTTTAAAGGTTGAGAACGTCCAGGTCTAAGACCTTTGGCACTAAACAAGTTGCTTAATTACCCAGCCTCTGCTCAAGTTATTTGGAATGCTTTGAGGATGACAGCTACTGCAGAAAGCTTCCATTCATTAGTGACTAATGGTAGCATGATGTTTACCATAGTATTTGTTGTTCGTGTCTCTCTCCTTTTGTAATGAGTTTTTCCCCCATTTTTGTATTTCCTCATTTTTGAATTAATGGATTATGCAATTTATTACGGGATTACCCCAGTTAACTATGAAGTTTTTAAATACTGACATTTTTTGTCTACAATATCTAGTAGACAAAGGAGGGATACAGATAGAATGAGGGAAGGAAGAAGAGTATGAGGATTTAAATATTTGTTTTAGTGCCCATGAACTGCATTCTCAGAAAGCAGAGAAGGGTCACATGATACTTGCCTAGAAAATGCTTTCTCGCCCAGGAATTTTACCAGTACCTCTACCTTCCTTGTTCTGTCTTGGACCTTTCAGGTTTGAATAGATTCAAAACCATGTTCATTTCCGCTCTACTTGGTACAAGCATTCTCCTTCATTTATACCACCAGCGGGGACTGTCTGGCTGTTCAGATTGAACTTGTGAGGGACGTGTCCTCTTTTTATCTTAAGAACCAGAAGTAAAGGTGGAGTTTTATCAAGCGTTCTATGTTCTGATGAATTTAATATATTTATGAAAGAATTACAAACGATGTATTTGCAGTATCTGAGTTGGTTTTTCTTTTCTTTTTGTAATTTTACTTCTATTGCCTGTGTTGTCATAACTGTTAGGTTCCTACCAAATTTTTTCAACTGTAGCAATAAAGGTGCTTGTCTTGGATTTGCTTAATTTGTATCCAGTTTAAGCAAAGTCTCCCCAAAAGTCACCTTAATTTCTACTTTAAGAGATTTTTTAAAATCTTCCTTAGAGCAATGTAATGATGAATAGTTTTAAGTTATTCTGGAGGGTCTGAAGCGGGAGTTGAAATGATACTTAAGTGCCCCCAAAAGTCACCTTAATTTCTACTTTAAGAGATTTTTTTAAATCTTCCTTAGAAAGATGTAATGATCAATAAGTTTTAAGTTATTTTGGAGGGTCTGAAGTAGAAATTGAAATGATACTTTATATAAGTTTCTTTATATTTCCTTTCTGATTAGTGATTTACAGGTTAATATTTCAGTGCAACAATAAGTCGATAGATTATGAAAAATTTAAAGTAACTTATGGACTAACCATAGCAATATATTTTAGTATTCTGTCTATAGTATGAGTGATCATTGCTGTTCACTCTTAATCTTTCATTCCTGTAATTTAACATTCCTTGTAAATTAGAGTCTACGCATGAGGGTGTAGCATAATAATCCTTCCTAATTAACACCTTTGCTGCAATTACTTTTGTTTTTTTTGTAAAGTGTTGTTCTTTTTAAATACTTGAACGTACTTGCCATGTTTCCTTTTCTTTTTTATTAAAAAAACAGATGCATCATTTGAACCTTCTGTAGCATTGGCAAGCCTTGTGCAGCATATTCCTCTTCAGATGATTACAGTTCTCATCAGGAGCCTTACTACAGATCCAAATGTAAAAGATGCAAGTATGACCCAAGCCCTTTGCAGGTACTTCTTCATGACACTATTAATGGTAATTGTAGATTGGGGAAGAGGAAATACTTTGTATTTTGTGAGTAATGAAAAACTTAGGAATGTTTAAAACTAAAATCATGGAATGACATATGTAAATATTCTCCAAATAGATTGGAATTATTTACCTTATAGCGTTGAGAGGCATCCCAATAATTCACAAATCTATTTTCAATTCAACTTTAATTCCCAAAATATACACACATATATACAGATGCTGATTGGATTATCAGTATCCAGTATTTCACTAATTTCGTTGCTCATCATTGTTTCCTGCAACCTATTTTTCTTCGTTTTTTTTTTCTTCTTTAGTAAGTATACACTTTACTTTCTCTCTTAACCAGGCTCAGTGTGTAATACACTGTTTGCCTTCGCCTGTTTGTATTTTTTTTCTTTCTCAGTTTTAAATCAGTTTCTCAGATTTGGCAAGATACAGAATTCTAATTTGATAGCCATTTTCTCTTAGCATTTTAAAAATAATACTGTATTACCTTTGGGCATCTATTGTTGCCGGTGGGAAGTCACCTGTCAATCTGACTCATTCCTTTGTGAGTAGTCAGCTTTTCTGGAAACTTTTATGTTCTTTTTATCCTTAATGTTCTATAATTTTATTCTTACATTTCTAGGTATAATCTTAATATTATTTGCCCTTCTCAGCACTTTGGCACTTTTATTCAGTCATTCATTCATTTATTCAAACCACACTTATTGAGTACTTACCATGAATGCCAGGCAGTGTTCAAAATGTCCTCAAACAAACTGATAAAAATATCTGCCTTATAGGCTTACATTCTACTTGGGGAGGCAGACAGTAATTTAATAACACACTTCATTGATTCCAACATGTCTTCTAATTTCAAAGATGTTTAAATGTAGAAATGCCCAGTCATTCGTGTCCTAGTTAAATTGGCATGACTTTTCTTGCCTTGGTGGTACATAAGCTAATTATGCATCTTAAAATTGAATTTGTTTTTGATTTGATTAAATATAATAAGTAAAATAATTTAGTATGTTAGATAGTGATACATGTTTGAAAAAAAGCAGACAGAAAGAGGGATAGGAGTAGACAGGAAGGGGGACAGATTGTGGGGAAGTGGTTTGCAATTTTAAATAAGATGGCTGAAGAAGTCTTCACTAAGGTAACCATGAAGTGAAGACAGGAAGGATGTGAAGAAGCAAACCTGTGGATATCTGAGGGGAAGAATATCAATACTGTTTTATAGTTCACTAATTTTCTCTTCAAAGGTGCTCATCTGTAGAGCTTACTTACTGAGTTTCTTTATTTCAATGACTATTTTTTTCTAATTGAGTTTTTTGTGTTTTCCTGTTCTTATTAAATACCTGACTGTTTTTGTTTTTTAATTCTTTTCCTGTGTGTGTGTGTATATTAAGCACATTTAAATACAGTATAAGGATTTGGACAAAAGGGTTTCTGTGCTTCTGTTATAAAATTATTATTATAAGGTAACATATAAACTGAGGTATTCATATTGAGTTCTCAGCTGCATTTGTACTAACTTCACTCTCTATAACACAAACTCTAGGGACTTTGATTTTCTCCACCTTATCCCCCTTTTCACTTCATTGTTTAAAAAGGTCTTCCTCTTCTATGCATTTCTCCTTTCTTCTTGTGCTCTTAAACATAATTGAATCAATTTATCTGTAACTTTTACTTCCAGTTTCATAGTGTTCATTTCCTCTTTGACTTTCAGAAATTTGTGAAAGTGCTTTGTATGTATGAGAAAACTCTTATGTAAATGTTTTTCCTGTTGTGTGACCTCTGTCCCCATTGCTTTTAATTTATGATGATCCCCCTTGCTGTGTTTGAAAATGTGTATTTTTATTCTCATCTCCTTGATATCTTTGTATTCATTGTTCTTGAAATTCTTATCTGACACCATACTGTTAGGAATTTCTTTCTGTATCTATTCTTTTTATTTTCTTCCTTCCCATTATTATCATCACTATCAGTTCTGATCTGTATGTGGCTGACTTCCAAGTCTTTATGTAAAGTTTTCGTTGTTCATTTACTCTTAAGAAACTCTTACCTTATTCATCTCTTCATAATGTAACTCCTTCTGTGCCCTATTTAAGCAGCAGCACACTTTTGTCAGTGTGACTGTAACAGCCCTAAAGTGTCTTTCCCTTTGGGATGAATGCATTATAACTTGTATTTCCTCCTAGTAAAACAGATGCAGAGAATTATAGATTTTACAGCTGGAAGTGAAATTAGAAATTAGTTGGTCCATCACTTTCATTGCATAGGGTAATAGTGGCAGATTTTCTTTATATGAGATAAACTATTTAATACTCACCACAGTCTTTTGAAATAGGTACTGTTATTGGCCCCATCTCATAGTTGAGGAAACTGAGAGGTTAAATTGTTTACCCAAGCTCATTCAGGTAATAAACAGTGAATCCGGTATTTGAACTTAAATCTGGCTCCCGGTTATGAGATAGTCACCCATGAAGACACAAACCAGGGTAGTCAAGTTTCTCACGTAGGGCCACTCTCTTAGAGGCAGAACTTATCTTCATGGCCTGATATTGGTGTTTATTTTTTTTCTCTTTTTTTACTTAAATTGACACTAATTCTAGATATCTGGTCACAAACCTATAAGCAATTTTCAACTCCATCCTTTCTTTCATTCCCTTTGATTAACATAATGAATAAGTCCATTGGATTTTTTCTTTAGGACATTTCTTAAAATGACGCTTATTCTATCCCCACTGCCCTGAAGAAATCAGGCTTTCCTCGTTGCACAGTTTTTTAGTTCGTCTTTTTGCTAGCAGTGACTTACTTTTCTTATCTTAATCATCTGGACTCCTGATTTTTCTCTTTCAATCAAGACATTGTAGTGACTTCCACCACCTACTAAGTTGAATTCATATTCCACTTCTTGGCATTCAGTCCTCTTAATTTTCAAGCCTCTTCAAAAACAGTTGTAGTACCCAATTTAGGAATTTTTTTTCAAGATATATTTGGAAATTAATTTTTACCTACTTTTTTCTATGGGGAGTTGTACCCAGTTTTTGTATTACATTTCCAGTATAGCCTGCGTGATCCTATTTACCCATAATCTACCCGAAGTAATTACTCTTATGTAGAAAATGTAACTGAAAGGGATAGTGATATTTATTTTTACCATCCTCCTCCCACTTTATACCTCCCCGTGCACTATACTTTCCCAAACATAGCAGTGATCATGTTTACAGTCATTTTCTATAATCCATAGAAATGCAAATGTAAAGCTAGATACCATACCAGGACCAAACAGGTAACATTAAAATATGAAATAGGCCAAGTATAAGTTAAGTGATAGGAAATGGGATACATAAGTACCTTCTAAAAGAGAAAACTGATCATGAACTCCAGTTGTCTGTTGATACAAGGAAATTGGAATCCAGTTTTGTTTGATTTTTCAAAAGAAGCCTGAAATCCAGTTTTCTATGTGAAATTTCCCAATGTTTAAAACATTGGGACAAATAAAAGGGAAGGCTGCCTATAGCCCGCAAGCTGCCATGTAAAAGTGGAAATTGGTGTTATTCTCCATAAATTACAATTAAACCAAAACGATTATGGTGTCTTTCATAATTTTGCCAGTTTTACTGTTATGATTTTAAAGTTACATGTGTTTTTCTTTAGCTATATAAAGAAATGCTTTCATTTAGTTAATAAATTTGAGTTCCTACTCAGTGCCAGGCATTAAGTGCTGGGAATCCAAAGATACATGAGAGATTACTGCTGTCAAGCTCACAATCTAATGGAGGAGATAGGTCGTGGAGTACGTAAATAACAAGTATATAGTTAAATGTTATTTAAATAGTAAGATATTAAATCAGTATACCAGGGTTAAAAGAAAGTGTCCTTAGAATTCAAATTGATAATCACTGATACATGGTGGATAAGATTCCTGTAGTTAACCATAAAAATAGTTTATCCTGCAGTGCCTGCCTGTACCGGAGAGGAAACAGACATGTGCAAGTCCAATCAAATTGAAACAGAACTGGAATATAATTAAAGTGTGGCAAAAAAAAAAAACATGGCATTCTGTCCTGGCAGAGCTTAGTTTAAATGCCAGTACTATTATTTGATAATTGTGTGCTTGTTGACAAATTTCCTAACTTTTCTTCCCTTTTTAAGGACAGAAACCATACCTTATTGTTATATTTTCAGCACCAAACACAGTACCTGCTATATAATACACAAATCTTTATTTCATGAATGCTTTCTGACTTAGTCTGTTTGGGCTACTGTAAAAAAATACCTTAGATTGGGTTATTTATGAACAATAGAAATTTATTTCCCACAGTTCTGGAGGCTGGGAAATCCAAGGTCACCATGCCTGGCTAATTTTTGTATTTTTAGTAGAGATGGGGTTTCACCATGTTGGCCAGGCTAGTCTTGAACTTCTGACCTCAGGTGATCCAGCCGCCTTGGCCTTCCAGAGTGCTGAGATTACACGCGTGAGCCACGGCGCCCAGCCTTCAGTTGCTTTCTGAAAGAGTTGTACCAATCTTCATTGTGGTAGAGATCTAACTTTAGGTAGTGTCTCTATCAGATCCCATATTACTTTTTTGTTTTTTCTTTTTTCATGAGATTGGTCAAGCAGATTTGGTGTGTGGTGAGGGCCTTTTCCTTTAGATGGAGCTTTCTGTGTGTCCTCACATGGCAGAAAGAGCAGGGGTGCCCCCTTCAGCCTCTAATCCCAGTCACTAGTCACCTGACAAAGGCCCCACCTCTTAATACCAACACATTGGGGATTAGATTTTAACATATGAATTTTGGAGGGACACAAACATTCAGACCACAGCAGCTTCTGATCTGTATAACATCTGATACGAAGTTTATTTATAGGTGGTCCAGAGATTGGCATACATGAAATAAGGTAAAGAATGGAAGCTTTTGAGATGTAAAGGCAGAAATGGAAAGGATGAGAAAAAGGCTGGCTGAGTAATGAAGGATAATGAAAAGCCACGGCCAAGTGGAATTTTCTACTCTCTGTGCTCTCACCCTCTCTCAGTACTCTCTTTAGACTGAGCCAGAGGGAGTTCTGGCCTTGAGACCTGTATTCTGGTGAGCCCTGTCTGGTTCTTCTCTGACAGTGTGACTTCCCATGATGCAAATAATCCACAGAGCCAAGATGTACTCACACATACCCTGCCTCTAGATTACATCTTTTTTATGTCCATATTTACATATATGTATTCACATGATTTTCTTTTAAACTAAAATTGTTTTTTAAAAAAACTGCACTGGTATGTTTTTTCCATCTTAATTCAACAATTTCTCAGCTCTTTCCATTTTAGATTCCTTATGGATAGATTCATGTACATCTATCTTATTATTTCAAGCTCTATATAGTGTTCCATAGTATCAGTACCATAGTATCTTTAAACATTTCCTTATTGACAATCATTTAGGTTGTTTGCAGTTTTTCTATACCATAAACAGTGCTACAGTGAATGTCCTCTGTACACAAATGCAAGTGTGTCTCTGCTTTGCTACTCTGTATAAGTAGAATGGCCACAACATTTTATGAGAATCACTCCAACAATAATTGGAAGATATGGAATAGCTGTCAAGGACTACGTTAATGACTTGTAACCGTCATTGCTGGAAAGGCCAGAAAAACAAGAAAAGAAATAGAATTTGTGTAGAGAATAGAGGGAACATACACATAACTTGTAGTTAAGCTGCATTTGGACTGGGACCACTCTTAATATCCGAATGGACATTTTAATCTTAAAAGCAAAAACCTTAATAAAAATAACATTCCAGTGTTAATGTAGATAGTTATATAACACAATTGTTGTGAAAATAACCGTATCAATGAAGATGTCAGTCCTTCGGCCTGGCGCAGTGGCTCACGCCTGTAATCCTAACACTTTAGGAGGCTGAGGTGGGCAAATCACTTGAGGCTAGGATTTCAAGACCAGCTCAGGCAACCCCCTTGGCAAAACCCCAGCTCAGAAAATACAAAAATTAGCCAGTTGTGGTGGTGCACACCTGTGTAGTCCTAGCTACTCAGATGGCCGAGGAGAGAGGGTCGCTTGAGCCTAGGAGACGAACTTTGCAGTGAGCCAAAGTAATGCTGCTGCACTCCAGTCTGGGTAACAGAGCGAGACTGTGTCTCAAAAAGAAAAAAGATGTTAGTCTTTTTAACATAGTAGTTGTTATTTTAGTAATGTATTTATGTCCTTAGTATTTATATTTGCATTTTGTACAATCAAGGTATTTATTTATTGCCACGTGTATTAACATTTGGTGGAAAAGGGGCATTCACAGTATTTCCAGTGTTGTAGATTAATTCATTTAATCTTCACAACAGTGCTGTAAAATAAACATGTTTATGTATAATTTACAGGTGAGGAAACAGACACAGAGAGGTTAAATAACCTATGTAGGTATTTAGGGTCCCCTAGCTAATAAATGGCAAATTGAGATTTTTAAACCAGTCACTTTGGCTTCAAAAACTCATTTTTCCCCCTTCTATTTTCTTAGTATATAATCCCAAAAATAGGACTACTAGGTCAAATTATATGAACATTTGCTTCAGTTGCTTTCTTTTTTTTTGGAGACGGAGTCTCGCTCTGTTGTCCAGGCTGGAGTGCAATGGCATGATCTCGGCTCACTGCAACCTCCGCCTCCCGGGTTCAAGCCATTCTCCTGCCTCAGCCTCCCGAGTTGCTGGGATTATAGGCATGTGCCGCCATGCCTGGCTAAATTTTGTATTTTTAGTAGAGATGGAATTTCACCATGTTGGCCAGGCTGGTCTTGAACTTCTGACCTCAGGTGATCCAGCCACCTTGGCCTCCCAGAGTGCTGAGATTACAGGCGTGAGCCACCGTGCCCATCCTTCAGTTGCTTTCTAAAAGAGTTGTATCAATCTTCGTTGTGGTAGAGCTCTAACTTTAGGGAGTGTCTCTGTTAGATCCTTTCTTTTTTTTCCACTAAATTGGGTTGGTACTCAAGAAAAGCACCCATTAGTGCAAAATGAGGCCTTTACAATATTTACAGACTTAGTGCTCTTTTATATATTTGAAGTTTCTTTTTGTTGTCTTTGTATAGTAGGATTTTGAAAAAGATAAAGATACCTCTTTCACAGTTCAAAATATAGGCTTTTTAAACAGTACATTTCGTATTAGACTATACTCACCAGGAAGGAGGAATCTTGGTTCATATTCATATATCTTAGTTCAGATTACATTTTGGCTGCTCTTTTTAGAGTAAATTTGCCTAATAAATTCTTGATGCAGGTTGAGCATCCCAAATTTGAAATGTTTGAAAATCCAGTACTTTTTGAGTGCTGACATGATGCTCAAAGGAAATGTTCATTGGGACATTTCAGATTTCAAATTTTTGGATTTGAAATGCCCAACCAGTAAATATATAATGCAAATAATTGAAAATCCAAAGCACTTCTGGTTCCAAACATTTCAGATAAGGAATACCTAACCTGTGCCACTATATAGCATAAATTTTAAGTTTTGCATTTATGCAAAATAATTTATCGGAAATTATTTTTATGGAAATATGTTGAATAGGAGAAACTATCAGTTTACAAGATTGGAAACTCCATGAGAACAAGCACCTGTTACATTCACTTCTACATCTTGGTCAGTGCTTTTCCCCAGCAAATTCAGTAAATATTTATTAACAAAGTGAGTGGTTATCTACTGTAACTCTTGTTATCTCTAACTAAATGAAAATATTTTCAATAATGATTGTTTCGTTTTCCTTCAATTTCAGAATGATTGACTGGCTATCCTGGCCATTGGCTCAGCATGTGGATACATGGGTAATTGCACTCCTGAAAGGACTGGCAGCTGTCCAGAAGTTTACTATTTTGATAGATGTTACTTTGCTGAAAATAGAACTGGTAAGTGGGAGTGTGGAAATCTATTAGAATATATAGACTTGTAAAATCAGTATTTTTATCTTTGGGTGGTATCCTTGAAAGCATCTAATTTTGAGTATGTTATTGTTGGTTTGTTTGGAGTAACAGTTTTGAATAGGCTTTAGAAATTGTTTTAAATGTCATTTAAATATAAGTAATTACGCTGGGCATGGTTGCTGACCCCTGTAATCCCAGCACAAGGCGGGCAGATCACTTCAGGCCAGGAGTTTAAGACCAACCTGGCCAATGTGGCAAAACTCCGTCTCTAGTAAAAATACAAAAATTAGCTGGGCATGATGGTTCATGCCTGTAGTCCCAGCTGCTCAGGAGGCTGAGGCACGAGAATCACTTGAACCTGAGAGGCAGAGGTTGTAGTGAGCCAAGATAGCACCACTGCACTCCAGCCTGGATGACAGAGCAAGACTCTGTCTCAAAAAAAAAAAAAAGTATAAGTAATTAAAATAATTTTTTCATTTTCAAATATCCAATACAAAAACATTCTTTCCATTATCTCTTGGGTCCACCTAATCAAGCTTTTTCCACCATTACTCTACCAAAATTACCTTTGACACCAGTGCTTTCCAGTGTTGCTAAACTCACAAGTCATTTCTCAGGCCTTTTCTCATTTGACCTGTCAGCAATATTTGACACAGTCAATCACTCCCTCTTTTTTCCAGGACATTATACTCTCCTGATTTTTGTCCTCCTTCACAGGCATATCAGTCTCCTATACTTACTCTAACTTTTAGAATGCCTTACAGTTCAGTCTTTGGTCCATTTTCTTCCCAGTGCATACTCACAGCATAGGTGTTCTATGGCTTTAAATAACATCTCTAATTTGACGACTGCCAGATTTATATTTTTTGTCCATTTTTCTTCCTTGAACTCCATATTCATGTATCCATCTGTCTTTACATGAATGTCAGATTCACTTTATCTACAATTTTACTCCCGATTTTTCCCTCCCAGACCTAGAGGCTCCTCTGTCCTTTCGCTTGCTCAAGCCAAAAACCTTGAAGCTATTCTTATCTTTTTTTTTATTCTCTCTCAGCCCATATCCTACAAATTCTACTGACACCACTTTTAGAATATATCCAGACAGAATCCTACCACCCTGATCCTACATCATCATCCCTTGCTGCAAGATTGCAGCAGCCTTTGTGCTCCTGTTCTTGGCCCCCCGTACTTATCACACAAGGTCCTATGTATTCTGGCCCACTTCTTCTCTAGTCCCATCTCCCACTGTTATTGCCTCGGTCTCTTGCTTCACTTACACTGCCCTTTTTTCTTCATCTGTAGCACACCAGCCTGAAGGCCTCAAGGCCTTTGCAATGCTGTTTGCCCTGCCTATAATGCTCTTATCCCAGGTATTTGCAAGGCTTATTCACTTCCTTCAGTTTTATAATTGGATATCACTTCTTTCATGAGGCATTTATTGAACACTATGTAAAACAGCAGATTTTTTTGCTACACAACGTTCTCTATTCATCATATCCTGCTTTAAATTTCTTAATAACACTTACCACCATGTGTTACTTTTTATTGTTTCTACCTACCCTCTAGATGGTAAACCCTGTATGATAGAGATTTTTTTTTTATTTCGATCCACTGTTGTAGCACTAGTTCCTAGAACTAGGACAAGTAATAGTATGTGCTTAACAAATATTTATTGAGTGAATTGAATGAATGGTGGACTCGGGAGCTATCGCCTTGTAAACATAATTTGACAAATTTTTATTTCGTTGGGGAATTTTAACAATTGGGTTAGGCCAATTACATTACCCTTGATCTCTGTCATGTTGTTATTTCCTCACTTCATCCTTCTCCCGAAGTTTAATTACATAAGTTTTGTTAGAACTTTCCAGGAAGGGGACATTCATATAAGTAATTTGTAGCTCTAAGAAAATAACCACTGTTGGATTAATGATTTTCCTACAAATTCTTAAGGTGGTGTCTTGTCTTATTTTGAAGGTTTTTAATCGACTTTGGTTTCCTCTTGTGAGACCTGGTGCTCTTGCAGTTCTTTCTCACATGCTGCTTAGCTTTCAGCATTCTCCAGAGGCGTTCCATTTGGTAAGTTGTGACATAAGCTTTCTACTTGGAAAAAGCCTCATTTTGAAAATTTAGTTTAATATTGAGTCACATTTTTATGTAGTAAAAATATTGCAAGTTAGTCCCAAATCTGTTTTCATGTAGCTTTATGATTTCCTAGAAAATGAGATTGTGAGATTTCCCTCTAAGAATATATTTTCGTGTCTTATTCAAACTACTCCACTTGCAACAACTGTTCACATGGAAGATGTCACTGATGGATGTCTGTTGCACAAATGAACAGTATAGAAGGATTAAAATGATTGAAAAGCACTGCTTTAGAATTTTGAAAGTATGAAAACACGCCAGTTTTTGCAAGCTTTTCATTCACTCTCAGCCTACATCCTACAAATCCTGTTGACCGACCTTTGAAATACATCTAGAATCCTGCCACTTTAAGCCAGCTGAATCATTGGCTTTTATTTGATTTCAATTATTTGATTATCAGTTACTGCAGATGAGAAATGACAAATTGTAATTTTGGTCAACTGTCCATTTACCACCGTAGGGCATCATAGGAAAACAGTGCCTTTGTGTGGTTACTTAATTCTTCCAAAGTCTAATCCTGTTTTATAGGACTAGAAACTCATTGTCAATAAACCCACAATGGAAAAATCTTAGGAATACTGATTCACCATAACAAACGTCAGAGGAGACTAATGAAGTTCAGAATTCCAGTTGTTTTTATTTATCTAGAATATATTCACATAGGCTGCTCAATGTCTCATTTCCACTGAAGGAAAGTCCACAGGCTTTATAGTAAGTAAACCTTACTAGCACATAATTACATTACAGATTACCACTTAGGATGAGTGATTTCTGCAGTTAATTGCCCTAATTTTGGTGAGTTTAATCATCAAGCAATAACCTTATATATATATATATATATATATATATATATATGTATAATAGAAAACAAAACTGGAACTAAGATAGCGGGTGTACTAGCCAAGTCTTCCAAGAAAAAAACATCAATTATTTGTCCTTGTCTTCAGGCACAATCATGTGTAAGACATTTGAGAAAAGGCTTTGTTTTCCACATTTTTTTTAACTTTTAGATTCAAGGAAACGTGAAAGTTTGTTACATAGGTAAACTCGTGTCACATGGGTTTGTTTTACAGATTATTGCATTACCTAGTTATTAAACCAAGTACCCAATAGTTATCGTTTCTGCTCCTCTATCTCCTCCCACTCTCCCCGCTCAAGTAGGCCTCAATGTCTATTGTCCCCTTTTTTGTGTTCATGAGTTCTCACCATTTTGCTCCCACTTACAAGTGAAAACATGGGGTATTTGGTTTTCTGTTCCTGGGTTAGTTTGCTAAGGATAATAGCCTCCACCTTCATCCATATTCCCGCAGAAGACATGATCTCATTATTCTGGCTCCATAGCATTCCATGGTGTATATGTACCACATTTTCTTTATCCGGTCTGTCACTGGTGGACATTTAGATTGATTCCATGTCTTTACTATTGTGAATAATGCTACAGTGAATTCACGTGCATGTATCTTTATGGTAGAATGATTTATATTCCTCTCAGCATATACCCCGTAATAGGAATGCTGGGTCAAATGCTAGTTCTGCTTTTAGCTCTTTGAAGAATCACCATAGTACTTTCCATAATGGTTGAATGAATTTATACTCCCACCAAGTGTATAAGTGTTCCCCTTTTTTTTGAACCTTGACTTTTTAATGATAGCCATTCTGACTGGTAGGAAGATGGTAGCTCATTGTGGTTTTGATTTGCATTTCTTTGCTGATCAGTAATATTGAGCTTTTTTTCATAAGCTTGTTGGCTGCATATATGTCTTATTTTGAAAAGCATCTGTTCATGTCCTTTGCCCACTTTTTAATTGGGTTTTTCTCTTGTAAATTTGTTTAAGTTCCTTATAGATGCTGGATATTAGACCTTTGTCAGATGCATAGTTTATAAGTATTTTCTCCCATTCCATAGGTTGTCTGTTCACTCTGTTGATAGTTTCTTTTGCTGTGCAGAAGCTCTTAAGTTTAATTAGATCCTGTTTGTCAGTTTTCACTTTTGTTGCAATTGCTTTTGGGGTCTTTGTCATGCAATCTTTGCCCATTCCTATGTCCAGGATGGTTTTGCCTAGGTTGTCTTCCAGGGTTTTTATAGTTTGGGGTTTTACATTTAAGTCTTATCCTTGATGTAACAAACATCGATACAAAAATCCTCAACTTGCAAACCAAACCCAGCAGCACTTCAAAAAAGCTAATCCATCATGATCAAGTAGGCTTCATCTCTAGGATACAAGGTTGGTTCAGCATACACAAATCCATCACATAAACAAATAAAGACAAAAACCACATGGTTATATCAATGGATGCAGAAAAAGCTTTCAATAAATTCAACCTGCCTTCATGTTAAATACTCTCAATAAACTAGGTATTAGAGGAACATGTCTAAAAATAATAAGAGGCATCTGTAACAAACCCACAACCAACATTATACTCAATGGGCAAAAGCTGGAAGCATTCCCCTTGAAAACCAGCACAAGACAAGGATGCCCTCTCTCATCACTCCTAATCGATATAGTACTGGAAGTTCTAGCCAGAGCAGTCAGGCAAGAGAAAGCAATACGGGACATCCATATAGGAAGAGAAGAAGTGAAACTATTTGTAGATGATATGTTTCTGTATCTAGAAAACCCCATAGTCTCAGCCCAAAAGCTCCTTCAGCAGATAAACAACTTCAGCAAAGTCTCAGGATACAAAGTTAATGTACAAAAATCACTAGCATCCCTATACACCAACAGCAGCCAAGCTAAGAGCCAAATTAGGAAGGCAATCCCATTTACAACTGCCACAAAAAGAATAAAATACCTAGAAATACAACTAAGCAGGGAGGTTAAAGATCTCTACAATGAGAAATACAAAACAGTGCTCAAAGAAATCAAGAAGACACAAACAAATGGAAAAACATCCCATGCTTATGGATAGGAAGAACCAATATCATTAAAATGGCCGTACTGCCCAAAGCAATTTATAGATGCTGTGCTCTTTCTATCAAACTATCAACGACATTCTTCACAGAACCAAAAAAACACTATTTTAAAGTCATATGGAACCAAAGAAGAACCTGAGTAGCCACAGCAATCCTAAGCAAAAAGAACAAAGCTGGAGCCATCACATTACCCAGCTTCAAATTATACTACAGGGCTACAGTAGTATATTAAAACAGCATGGTACTGGTACAAAAACAGGCACATAGACTAATGGAACACAAGAGAGACTCCACAGACAAGGCTGCACACCTATGACCATCTGATCTTGACAAAGCTGTCAACACAAGCAGTGGGGAAAAGGCTTCCTCTTCAATAAATGGTGCTTTGACAACTGGCTAGCCATATGAAGAAGATTGAAGCTGGACCCCTTCCTTACACCATATACAAAAATCAACTCAAGATGTTTTCCAAATTTCTAGGAAGGAGATTCTCTGACATAACTTTATCATTCATTCTAATGTTTATTGCCCACATTGAGGACATTCCTTAATCTCGTAGTGGGTAATGTGGCAGTTAGATCACCTGTAACTCCAAATAACTCACTAAAGAACTTGGGCTTAGGAGTTGCTAAGTATGAGCAATAATCTGGAATCAGCATCATAGTTCATTATACATTGAGAATATCTTAGGGCAAACCAAGGTTGATGTTAGAATATGTGGTGTTATGGGTCAGGTTGCTTTTCTCACGCATTTTACCCAGTGGAATAAATTTATTTTAAACAGATACTATGGCAGATAGTAATAATGGAGAAAGAAAAAAAATCAAAGCTTCTAATTAAATAAGTTTTAAACATTTCCTCAAAAACTTTAGTATTATAATAATGTCAAAAAACATTTAGTTTCACTTATTCAAAAAAATCAACTTTCACACATTTAGAAGATAATAGCCTGCTTGGAAGTTTATTTGTATAACTGTGAAAGACCAAGTCTTATTTCCATGTCGTGATAATGTTGACCGTTTAGGATATGCTAATAGACAACCATATAACCTGATTACAAAGACCTAATCTAATTTGACAGATTTGAAATTATAAATTTAATAATCACTTCTAAAATTTTTGCCTCTTCTGTCTCCCTTCACCTTTGAGAAAACAAAATAATTTAGATTTCTGACTTTTAGCAAGAGAATATCTGAGAAATGTGGCTTTATGCGACAGAAGTGTAATTCATATTTGCTTAGAAATGTAAAGGTGATAGCAATAGAATGAACTCACTAGGAACTGGTAGTTTTATGGTCACATCAATGCCTGTGATGGAGGTAAGATAAAAGAAGGTAGTGCAAAAGCTACAGTGTGATTTAAGCACAAATGTAAAGCAAGACAGAGCAGAATGGAAATAGCACTGTGTTGTAAGACTATGATTGTTCTTTTTGTGGGAAGGAAAGGGAATTGATGAATTATTACTATAATTGCTGTTATTTCTGTTTGATGGTATGACCCTAATAGAGTTATAACTTTGTTTTTTACCATGAGTTAGCAACCCCAAAATGTTCTAGAAATAGAACAGAAAATACCTTTTACCATAAGAAGTGTACATATATAGTATCAGATTATAATTAAAAATTAATTGAAAAAATATAGTATCAGGCTAATGGAAAGAGCCATGTCTGTAAAATAGAAGTTGTTTCATTTTAATAACCTCCTAAAGATATGATTGGCTCTGGATTGATTGACTTTTTAGTTTAATTTTACAATGAAAGAAGATGGTTGTGCTGATGATCAATATTAACAATATTCTATATGTTTATGAGCAATGATCATTGTAGATTTCACTTTTATTTTTAGCCCCAGTTCTTTAAAACTAACAGAAGTTTCTGATGCCCTTTATTTTTAGAACCATCTCATCTTTTGGAGGGTGGGAAATGGGATTTGTTAGTAAGAATAGCCACTCTAACGTAAGGCATGGTCTCTGTGCTTATCTAAAAGTAATCTTATTACCTGAGCTGCAATGTTAGTTACACATGTAAAGATTTTCTTGAAGTAGACTTTAATGTGCAGTGTACTTTTAATTCTTTCAAGTAAAAAATTTTAAATTCACACTAGATGGAGCTCTTTAGCTAATTCTAGGATTGTTTTTCAAACGTTTATTCCCATTGAATGATCTGATAAATATAATAACCCTAACAATTTCAACCTACAGCGTTTTTCAGAATGGCAGCAATGACTAAGATTCCTATTTTATGCCTTAGTTTATGTTTTAGATGGTGTGTAAGGATGAGGAGGGGGGTCATATATGGGATTACAGTCATATGTGTCTTCGAAAACTAGACTTACCTTGATATTTTAGAAATGTTTAACTTAATAAAAAAAAACTCTGTGACTGAACATACAGAAAAGTATTTGCCGATCATATATTGTTTGTATTCTGTTTCTAGGCTAGAGAATGTGTTACCAATTTGTATAAAGTCAGCACTGTTTATCCTTTTTTTCTCTTCAGATTGTTCCTCATGTGGTTAATTTGGTTCATTCTTTCAAAAATGATGGTCTGCCTTCCAGTACAGCCTTCTTAGTACAATTAACAGAATTGATACACTGTATGATGTATCATTATTCTGGATTTCCAGATCTCTATGAACCTATTCTGGAAGCAATAAAGGTATGATGATAGTTGTACCAATATTTGTGGAGTTGTGTTATATTAGTAAGGTGAAACATTCTTATAACCAGCTACTCAATTTACGATTTTATGGTAATGTGCTTTTTGTTTGAAAAATGCAGTTAGAATCAGGTTTCATTTATGTTTAGGGAGTAACTGCTTTCTTGGCTGCTGTCACCATTCTAAATTAATAACCATATTTCTTCATTTCTGCAGTGTCATCAATTATAAGGCATATCTTTAAATTTATAATAGCTTTTTGGGAAATTTGTTTAAAAAGGAATGTTACGTTAACGCGTGCATCAGATTTGCACCCCAATATTAGAAGTGTTAAAGTATATGTAGAGTATGTCTTAGAATACAGGAAATGGAGTGTAATAAAATATTTGACTTTGATTTCTTCCCCTTTTTAATTCTTTTTTTTTTTTTTTTTGAGACCGAATCTCACTCTGTCACCCAGGCTGGAGTGCAGTGGTGCAATTTCTGCTGCCTTCAACCTTTGCCTCCCGGATTCAAGCAATTCTTCTGCCTCAGCCTCCTGAGTAGCTGGGACTACAGGCACCTGCCACTACACCTGGCTAATTTTTGTATTTTTAGTAGAGACAGGGTTTCACCATGTTGGCCAGGCTGGTCTCAAACTCCTGACCTCAAGTAATCCGCCTGCCTCGGCCTTCCAAAGTGCTGGGATTACAGGCGTGAGCCACTGCATCTGACCTCTTTTTGAATTATATTTTTGCTGTGGACTGTTCATCAATGTTTAGAATCTTTACTTGAATTATTTGTGGAGTTATACTGTGTTTCAATTTTATATGTAAATGGATCTAAAAAGCACTTTTTTTTTTTTGGACAGTCGTGCTTTGTTGCCCAGGCTGAAGTGCAATGGCATGGTCATGGCTCACTGCAGCCTCTACATCTTGAGCTCAAGTGACCCTCCTGCCTCAGCTTCCCAAGTAGCTGGGACTACAGGTGCACACCACCACGCCAGGCTAATTTTTTATTTTTTGTAGAGAAGGGGCCTCACTGTGTTGCTCAGGCTGGTCTTGAATTCCTAGGCTCAAGTGATCCTCGTCCTCCCAAAGTACTGGGATTACAGGCATGAGCCACTGTGCCTAGCCTAAAAAGCACTTCTGTTTGTGTTGAAGACTGGATCACAATAAACATACTTTCCTCTCAGTAAACTTACTGCATAATCAGTGTATAGCAAAAGAATTGGAGAACTGAACTCAGCCAAACTTAATCAGAAATTATTAGAAATCAATCCTATTGGTGGTTTTTTGTTTTTTTGAGATCTGAATTTCAATATAAAGGTCTTATCTTTACTTCTGTATCTGAGATGGATTAAAAACAGTTCTTTTTACTGTATCATTAACTAAATCAAACTTATTTTGGTTGAGCTCAGAAAACAGACTGTTAAGCAATTAATGTATATTGCTGGTGTGACACTTTGACACTTCAGAAGTAAATTATGTAGAGGAGCATTGTGGAGTGGATTTGATGGTAATATTAATCTCTTTCTACATTGTCACTGGATCCATAGATGATAGTTGCTGCACTTGTTAATTGATTGCCATTCTTTAGTTCATCAGAGTTTTTCATGTTGAAAATTCTGATAACTCATATAGGCTCAGAAGAAACAAGGGGCTCACTCTAAGCCCAAAGAAAGCACTCTTAGCTGTCAACAACAACAAAAATTAGAAGATTGAAACTCCTTTAGAAAATGTTTGTTTGCTAAGGTCTAAGTGCCAGATGCTAATAGCAGTCCGGATAAGCCCTAATGATTTTACCAACTTCCCTTAACTCTCCAGTGCTCTGTTCATGCTTGAAATAATTTACACTTGAAATGTTATCTCATACTTCACCAAGTTGATAAGAAAAATCCGTATGTTGTAATAATTTTCTGTATGGGTAACATGAGATTAAGTTTTATTTTTCTTAAAGTTAAAGGTCATTGTGCATAGATGCTTTCATTTCTCATTTATTAATTACTTTGTGATTTTATTTCTAAGGGTTAATACTGAGTAAATATTAGTATTTAATGAAAAGGAGACATTTTTATTACAAAATTTGAAAACAAATTGTTTGCTTATGTTTAACTGTGTGCTAAAATTTAAGTCTTCATTCTACTGCCTTTGAATAGCACTGCAGTTTATTCTCTGACCCCAAAGTTTTATTTTATAAACATTTTGCTGGCATGTAGAGAACATAAATAGTTCAAATGCGACTTGAATTTCCAGCTTTTGAGTATTTTTCAGCTTGATAAACTCTGTTATTAGACAGTATTTATTTTTGCCATACAGTTAAATTTGATATTTTGATGACTAGCCAAGTACTACCAGTTACTTCAAAACTAAGTGGGGGGAAAGAAAGTTCAAACGTCAGTGTGAGAATCTTAATGCTGTTAATTAAACAACAAAAATAATTTTTACTTTACTTTTAAACTGTTTTTCTTCTGTATGGCCTGTAGGATTTTCCTAAGCCCAGTGAAGAGAAGATTAAGTTAATTCTCAATCAAAGTGCCTGGACTTCTCAATCCAATTCTTTGGCATCTTGCTTGTCTAGACTTTCTGGAAAATCTGAAACTGGGAAAACAGGTCTTATTAACCTAGGAAATACATGTTATATGAACAGTGTTATACAAGCCTTGTTTATGGCCACAGAGTAAGTTTAAATTTGAATCTTTTCATTTTAACTGTAGAGGTTGATGCATGCTGATGAAATATAAGATGATAGAATTGTCTACACATTATTCCATATAAATGGCATAAATGTTAACTTTTATTGCCTTATTCAGAAATGAAATTGCTATTAGTGCTCAGAAACTATGAAAATGTTAACATTAGGCTGGGTGTGGTGGTTCACACCTGTAATCCCAGCACTTTGGGAGGCCGAGGCCGGTGGATCGCCTGAGGTCAGGAGTTCAAGAACAGCCTGGCCGACATGGCGAAACCCCATCACTACTAAAAATACAAAAACTAGCCGGGTGTGGTGGCGGGCGCCTGTAATCCTGGCTACTCGGGAGGCTGAGGCAGGAGAATTACTTAAACCCAGAAGGCAGAGGTTGCAGTGAGCCAAGATCGTTCCATTGCACTCCAGCCTGGGTGACAGACTGAGACTCAGTCTCAAAAAAAGAAAAGGTAACATTAATTCTGCTTATTATTCATTGCATTTAAATGTCACGTTAAAGAAATTACTCTGACGATTAATTTTTTTTATTTTTTTTTTGAGATAGAGTCTCACACTGTCACCTGGGCTGGAGTGCAGTGGCGCGATCTCAGCTCACTGCAACCTCCACCTTCCGGGTTGACGCCATTCTCCTGCCTTAGCCGCCCGAGTAGCTGGGACTACACGTGCCCGCCACCATGCCCAGCTAATTTTTTGTATTTTTAGTAGAGACGGGGTTTCACCGTGTTAGCCAGGATGGTCTGGATCTCCTGACCTCGTGATCCACCTGCCTCGGCCTCCTAAAGTGCTGGGATTACAGGCATGAGCCACCGCGCCCAGCTACTCTGATGATTTTTAACAGTGTAAAAGAAGGATTGATTGCACCTATTCCAAAGAGTTTAAGTGTGCTAGAGTACTTCACTCTTATTATCCTGTGAGACTAAAATTTTTTTAACCTGTATGTGTTTTGAGGGAAGTCATATATAATTTTATCTGCCCGTTGGTATTTTGTTGTCAGATCAACAACTTTGTTGCTGTTTAAGAAGTTTAAGTTCTGCTCTACCCTAGGGCAATAATTGCTGAACACCTGTATAAACAGACATGTTTCTTTCCCCTCTTAAGAATTTTCTTTCAAATCCGTTTTCTTTTGCACCTAAGCAAATAGGAAATCAGAAGTTGTTAGTTATGTGAATGCTATCTGCAAAGGTACAAAATAATGATAAACTCTTCCTGAAGACAAAAACATGACTGAATTTTTCTCCTGAATACCAATAAAGTATTCACAGAACTTGCCCAAAGAGGTTTACAAATTGAGTTCTAAGCTTTTCCAAGTTGTTACACCTGCCCAGAGGAATCTTAAACTATCAAATGTCGAATTTGGCCAGGCGCGGTGGTTTGCACCTGTAATCCCAGCACTTTGGGAGAGTGAGGCGGGTGGATCACGAGATCAGGAGTTCGAGACCAGCCTGACCAACATGGTGAAACCCCCGTCTCTACTGAAAATACAAAAATTAGCTGGGCATGGTGGCGCGTGCCTGTAATCCCAACTACTCAGGAGGCTGAGGCAGGAGAATCACTTGAACTCGGGAGGCAGAAGTTGCAGTGAGCCAAGATCGCGCCACTGCCCTCCAGCCTGGGTGACAGAGCGAGACTCCATCTCACGAAAAAAGAAAGAAAGAAATGTAGAATTCGCTTTATTTTATTGTTGGGCCCCAGATTATAATACCAGCACTCAGGTGTTTTTGGTTTCGTTTAGCATTTAATTTTTTGGTTTGTTTATATTTGGAATTGTGAGAATTTTTTTTTTTTTTTTTTTTTTTTTTTTTTAGAAAATAGATATATCTTTAGACACAAGTGGTACTAGGCATAAGACTAAAAGAATCCCCGTCTTACCATCAGAGGTAATCTAGTCCAGACATCTCCTTTTACAGATGACAGAGAAAACAGAAAACCAAAGCAGTTGCAACAGAAAGAGCAAATAAAAGGTTATCTTTTGCTGAACAGTGGCCAATAATATTATCTCTGAATAGGAAGACAGCACATTTTATTTCTTAAGTAATATATGAATTCTTCTTCATAGTTTAAAAATAATTAAATTTTATATAGAATAAAAAGCAGATATTCCCATTTCCAAAAGTAATTTTGTTAACAGTTTACATTGTTCCAGACCTTTTTTGGGACAGTTGCATGTTTGTATTTAATATGAAAGCAAATGCATTTTTTTAAAGAAAATTTGCGGAGAATCCTATTTATGTATTCTTTTCCAGCCACTTGCTTTTATCATTTAATAATTTGTATTTGAAATACTCCCATGTTGGGGCAATACAGATCCGTGTCATTCCCAGTAAATGTGTATGCCATCATTTATTTATTAAATACTCATTAAATTAAATGAGTATTTAATAAATAATCCTTTAATAATGCTCCTATTGATGAATAGTAGGTTGTTTTGCTTATAATTAACATCTCTCTGCCCTTATACAGATATAGAGGATTTTTCTTTGAATATCCTCCATATCTTTGAATATCCTTTGAATATCTTTCAAATTGCTCTCCAGAAAAGCTGTAGCATTTTGAACTATGATACGAATGTAAGATTGTACCTAGACCCTGTACCTTTAGCAGCAAATCAGCCTTTTTAATTTTTTGCCAATATGAAGAAAAATGCCTCTTTTAATTTGCATATCGCTGCTCATTATAGAGTTTTTTTCCTCTCTTATTTTTCTTCATTCATTTGTGTTTCTCTTCCAAATAACCTGTTCTTTTCTTTGTACATCTTTTTGTTGGGTCTTTTTTGTTTTCGTGTTGATTTATATATACTCTGGATGATCATCCTTTGCTACATGCTTTTTTCCAGTCACAATTCAAATTTGTGGGGTGTTTTATTTATAATTTTTTTATTTTATGTGTCCCAGTCTTCTACTTTTCATTTATAGCATCTGGACTTTTGAAGGCCTTTATCCTCTAAATTTCTTCTTTCTTTATTTTAAGTACTTCAGTAGTTTTGTATTTTATATCTAGCTCATTAGTCCTGTGGTATCTGTGATGGTGTATAATCTTATGTAACTTCATTTTTTACCAGATGGATACCCAGTTGTCCCTTTACTTTTTTTTTTTTTAAGTAGTTTATCATTTTCCCTTGCTGTACTCTGAATGACTTTAACTTTATAATGTGTTTTAATGACAGCATATTTTTTTATTTCATGAAGATTTGAAAGAATTTAAGTTGTTTACTTATGTTATAACTTAATGGCTTAACCTATTTCTATTTGCTAATCCAGAAAATAGAAATAACATATGATAGCACATAGTCCATTAGCACACTTTATAGTAAGTGTTAATTTATTGTCATTCTTCCCTTCCTTCTTTACTGTTAGATAGGTAACTTCCTCAGGAAAAGGGCCATAGGTAAATGAAGTTTTACTTTAAGGACAATAAATTCTTTTTTTTTTTTTTTTTTGAGACGGAGTCTCGCTCTGCCACCCAGGCTGGAGTGCAGTGGCCGGATCTCAGCTCACTGCAAGCTCCGCCTCCTGGGTTTACGCCATTGTCCTGCCTCAGCCTCCCGAGTAGCTGGGACTACAGGCACCCGCCACGTCGCCCGGCTAGTTTTTTGTATTTTTTAGTAGAGACGGGGTTTCACCGTGTTAGCCAGGATGGTCTCGATCTCCTGACCTCATGATCCGCCCGTCTCGGCCTCCCAAAGTGCTGGGATTACAGGCTTGAGCCACCGCGCCTGGCCTTAGGCCAATAAATTCTTGAACTAACTTGCTTTTAGCTTTTAAGAAATGCTTTTAAATGGCCACAGTGGCTTATGCCTGTAATTCCAGCACTTTGGGAGGCCTAGGTGGGCGGATCATTTGAGGCCAGGAGTTCGAGACCAGCCTGGCCAACATAGTGAAACCCTGTCTCTACAAAAAATACAAAAATTAGCTGGGCACGTTGGCACGCACCTCCTGTGGTCCCAGCTACTCAGGAGGCTGAGGCACAAGAATCGCTTGAACCTGGGAAGTGGAGGTTGCGGTGAACTGAGATTGCGCCACTGCCCTCCAGCCTGGACAACAAAAGGAGACTCTGTCTCAAAAAAAATTAAAAAAGCTTTTTAAAAATGCATGTGTGTGTGCTCGCTTCGGCAGCACATATACTAAAATTGGAACGATACAGAGAAGATTAGCATGGCCCCTGCGCAAGGATGACACGCAAATTCGTGAAGCGTTCCATATTAAAAAAAAAAAAAAATGCATGTGTGTGTGTGTACACACATATACATAAATCATTATATTCTCTTTCAGTTTCAGGAGACAAGTATTATCTTTAAATCTAAATGGGTGCAATTCATTAATGAAAAAATTACAACATCTTTTTGCCTTTCTGGCTCATACACAGGTGAGTGTGTTTGTGTGTATAGTAGGTTTATGTTAACTGTGTGGTAATATTCATTAAACTTTACATTATACCTAACCTTTTTAACTGATGAAATAATATAATAGATATCTCATCCGTACAACAAATACACTTAGAAATGCTAAAGAGATACTGCCTAAAATATCTAGATATTTTTCTATTTTCAGGACATGCCCTAAGTTTTTATATTTTTCTCTTGCTTCCCATTATTGTAGCTGAATATTATGCTGACCCATTGATCTAGAAATTTTTACAAAGAAAATATGATTTCCTATCCAATAAATAAGCTCCTTCATGAAGAATTATTTTTGAATGCATCTTTGTTTCCTGATACTAAATTAATAGATTTGTACAATAATGAGCAACTAAAATAATACTGTGGTGCCTGGGCTTTTTTCTCTTTTCTTACGTATACCCATTCATTATAACTAAAGATCTCTGCAGTTCTGTTTATCTGTTAAGTTCTAGAGCTTAAAATTTTGTGGTGATCTTTTATGTCCACACATTAATCCGGGGTCATTAATTTATGTTAATGGCACCAAGGTGGTCATATATAGTAAATATTCACATTTATTAAGAGACACTATATGCAGTCAATGGTAAGCATTAAAGGAAGAGTCTTGGTCAGGCGCCGTGGCTCACACCTGTAATCTCAACACTTGGAGGCCGAGGCGGGCAGATTACCTGAGGTCAGGAGTTTGAGACCAGACTGGCTAACATGGTGAAACCCCATCTCTACTAAAAATATAAAACTTAGCTGGGCATGGTGGCACATGCCTGTAATCCCAGCTACTCAGGAGGCTGAGATAGGAGAATTGCTTGAGCCCGTGAGGCAGAGCTTGCAGTAAGCCGAAATCATGCCACTGCACTCCAGCCTAGCTGACAGACCGAGCCCCTGTCTGAAAAAAAAAAAAAAGAGTCTTTATGTTCAAAGAACTTTTAGTTTAGATTTTGAGCCTATACACATGAATTATATACATATCATTATTTATAATATATGTTATTTTTCTGGTTTTACTTTCATTGCCTTTATCTCACAGAGGTCTAAAGGAGTAGTAGTTAGGGCCAGAAGAAACAATAGGTTGAGAATTGGTGGGATTCAGTTGATGGGAATGCTTTTGTTTTCTTTCTGCAAGCTGAGAAATATCACAGATATAACTTCTTAAATGGAAAGAATCTAGACAGGATTAATATGAGATGATAGTAATGGCCTATGAGTAGTTATATACTCAGATAATTTTATTATTCTTTATCTGGGGAAAGTATGTTCACAAATTAAATTTACCATATCAAGACCAAGGGAAATGAAATGAAAACTGTCTCCTTCCTCACTCCCTGTTGTTTCCTCGTAAATTGATTTTTGTGCTTTCTTTATCACTAGTCTGTATTTATTATGTATAAAATATATGTGTTTATATGTATATATAGGCAGATATATACTGTATTAACTTAAAATCTTAGGGGAGGTTTCCCTGCTCCTCTCAAGAAAAGAAAAATAGAAATTAAAAAGAGCCTGATTAAATTTCTGTCACAGTTGAGACTCTCTCTGGTAGCAGCCTGGCAGATTATTTTAGGCAGACAGATTTTCTCATATAATTGAAAAGTCCTTTTATCTTATAATTAATAAAACAAACTTATTGAACATTTACATTTTTTTTGGCCCTTGTCTAAATCTTTTATGTCTTAATCATCAAAAATAGTCTATCATGTAATAAGGTATATCCCCATTTTACAGATGAAGAAAACAGGCTTACATTACCTGTTCAGGGTCATGCAAACAAGCAGCAGGATTGAGATATGAACCAAACAGCTCTGAAGCCCCTGTTTAACATAGGGTAAACTTCCTTCCTTCAGAATGCTGTAAACCCTTAATTTGGGTAAAATTTTTCTTAACTAAGAACTTCATTGTTATGAAGTTATGCCACAAATAATCAATGTCAAGAGAATTCCAAAGTTTCAACTTATAATCACATCTTTGAGATGCCTTTTCAGTTTTTTGTCATGGCAAAATCTAGGATTTGAACCTGGATCGCTCTAGAGTCCACAATTTAATCACTAAACAGCTTCTATACTTAAAAAAAAAATTAGCAAGGGTTTCTAACCAGTGTACTCACAATCTGCACATTTATGACATGTATCTACTCAAGGAAATTTTCGCTTAAAGTAGATATGCATGACTCTACTGTAGAGTATTTCCTTTATTACTTTGTTCAGAATACACACTAACAAAATATACATTAATCTTTTTTAGATTTGATTTTTATCAAAAAATTGTGGACTCAAACATGTGACTGTCGTAGAGGGATGATACTAGGAGCTTTATATCGAGAGTTAGACTTGGGTTCTACCTTAATGTCCTGTGCCACTCATTTAGCTGTATGACCCTGGACAAGTCACATGTTTCTCTAGCTCTCAATTCTGCTCTGCAGAGTGAGCAATTATGACTAAAGATTACCTAACTTTATTTCTAAATAATTCTATCTGTCCCTGAGTTGCCATGTCCGGCCCTTTTGGCTGATGCGACGTTAACTGTAAATAATCTTTATTAAACACTGTATATTAAGATTTCAGTTACTTGGTTCATGCTATAAGAATCACTTCCTTATATTTTCTCAATTGCTATTAAAAGAGGGAAGCATACGCACCTCGGATATTCTTTGAGGCTTCCAGACCTCCATGGTTTACTCCCAGATCACAGCAAGACTGTTCTGAATACCTCAGATTTCTCCTTGACAGGTAAAATGTATTCTTAAAATTGTGATTTGAGTTTTGTCTTTCATAACAGTTTAATTCTACTTAATATTGCTTTTACCTTTAAAAACATATTTCAAATGTTACTTTTTAAAATACTGTTGCATTTCTTGTATGTTTTTTATATATTGTTTTTAATTGGTTTTCCTTTTTTGAATTTTCTTCCTTGAGACCAGCTGTTCTCAAAGTGTGATACAGGGACCCCTGCGGGTTCCCAAAACACTTTCAGGAGTCTGTGAGGTCTTCTCTTTCCCAACAGCATAACTGTGTGAGGCCAGATTTTCTTTCTATGTTTCATCCAAAAAACATATAACAATAGAATGCAGAGAAGATATGAGGCTCCAGCTGTCTTCTGTTAAACCAGATACTTAAAGTATTTGCAAAATGTAAAACACTGCCATTCTTACTTTTTTTTTTTTTTTGGTTTTACAAAATACAACTTTTTCATTTTTAAAATGTTACTAATATTAAATAATGGGTTTATTATTGTTTGTTAAATGTTAATATTTTATTTTCTCAGTTCTGACAGTAAATATCAATAGATACAACCCATATAAAGGAAAGCTCTTTGTTTTTTAATTATTTTTAAGAGGTTAAAGGGGTCCCGGCACCAAAATATTTGAGAGCCACTCCTTTAGACCAGTTCATAATTGTATGGGTTTGGTATATTTTATTGTCGCCTGACCACTTAATTAATAAAACCTGTTATCATCTGTATCTCCCTGTCTTTGTTCTGCTCTGTGAAATGACTAGTAAAGTTAGTTGAGCTCGGTATGTGCAGCCTTCCTTCCATTCAGCTAAGAATCTATTCAGTAGTTTATTTGTGCCTGACTTTCTATGAGATGTCAGGAAGACAGAGATATATAAGGCAGTTAAGGGACGTTTATAATTAACTGCAATGTAATACGTGCTCTTAAGTAGCAGTATGAAGAAAGTGTAATGAGAATATAGAGTAGTAATAGCCACCCAGCTTTCTTCCTGCATTCTCAAGCTATTCAATTTTCTTTTAATTAAAACAGGAAAACCTGATTTGTTTAAACATTAAATTTGATTAAAATAGTTTATAGTAGCCACTAATATTTTTAAATAGAAATGACATTTGAAGTTAATTTAAGTAGCTATATAATGATATCCTCTCCTGCAGGCTCCATGAAGAAGAAAAGATCTTGAAAGTTCAGTCCTCACACAAGCCTTCTGAAATTCTGGAATGCAGTGAAACTTCTTTACAGGAAGTAGCTAGTAAAGCAGCAGTACTAACAGAGACCCCTCGTACAACTGACAGTGAGAAGACTTTAATAGAAAAAATGTTTGGAGGAAAATTACGAACTCACATATGTTGTTTGAACTGCAGGAGTACCTCACAAAAAGTGGAAGCCTTTACAGATCTTTCGCTTGCCTTTTGTCCTTCCTCTTTGGAAAACATGTCTTTCCAAGATCCAGCATCATCACCCAGTACACAAGATGGTGGTCTAATGCAAGCCGCTATACCCAGTCCTTCAGAAGAACCAGTAGTTTATAATCCAACAACAGCTGCCTTCATCTGTGACTCAGTTGTGAATGAAAGAACCATAGGCAGTCCTCCTAATGAGTTTTACTGTTCTGAAAACACTTCTGTCCCTAACGAATCTAACAGGATTCTTGTTAATAAAGATGTACCTCAGAAACCAGGAGGTGAAACCACACCTTCAGTAACTGACTTACTAAATTATTTTTTGGCTCCAGAGATTCTTACTGGTGATAACCAATATTATTGTGAAAACTGTGCCTCTCTGCAGAATGCTGAGAAAACTATGCAAATCACAGAGGAACCTGAATACCTTATTCTTACTCTCCTGAGATTTTCGTATGATCAGAAGTATCATGTGAGAAGGAAAATTTTAGACAATGTATCACTGCCACTGGTTTTGGAGTTGCCAGTTAAAAGAACTACTTCTTTCTCTTCATTGTCAGAAAGTTGGTCTGTAGATGTTGACTTCACTGATCTTAGTGAGAACCTTGCTAAAAAATTAAAGCCTTCAGGGACTGATGAAGCTTCCTGCACAAAATTGGTGCCCTATCTATTAAGTTCTGTTGTGGTTCACTCTGGTATATCCTCTGAAAGTGGGCATTACTATTCTTATGCCAGAAATATCACAGGTACAGAGTCTTCATATCAGATATACCACCAGTCTGAGGCTCTGGCATTAGCATCCTCCCAGAGTCATTTACTAGGGAGAGAGAGTCCCAGTGCAGTTTTTGAACAGGATTTGGAAAATAAGGAAATGTCAAAAGAATGGTTTTTATTTAATGACAGTAGAGTGACATTTACTTCATTTCAGTCAGTCCAGAAAATTACAAGTAGGTTTCCAAAGGACACAGCTTATGTGCTTTTGTATAAAAAACAGCATAGTACTAATGGTTTAAGTGGTAATAACCCAACCAGTGGACTCTGGATAAATGGAGACCCACCTCTGCAGAAAGAACTTATGGATGCTATAACAAAAGACAATAAACTATATTTACAGGTAAGTTGGAAATACTTTATTTGTTGAAAATATTAAACAATTGATAGATAGTTAAATGAGTACCCTCATTTTGAAATCTAACTTACAAGTTTTTATGAAACTCTGAAATGTAGGTCTGGATTTATATGAAGTATTCTCTACCTGTATAAATTACCTTTCTAATATTGTGACAATTTAAATGAAAAGTGGCAATCAGATGTAATGTGGAAGATTTTATTTGTTCATTATAAAAGATGGCTCATTATGAAATCATGCCATACAAAATACAGAAAGTTTACAAAAGTGGACATATCCTCAGTCTCACCCACCAGAGGAAACAACTGCTAAATGTGGTGTTTATGCCCGCAAGACCTTTGTGTAAATATTTTAAGGGCTATTTATTGATATTTAGGTGGATAAGATAAAAAAACACTAAAAGGTAGACTATGTAAAGAAAAGATACTCATATTCTTTGAGGATGTGGGCAGTAAAACCAAGGAGATAATAGAACAATTGTAAATCAAAGCCAAGGAATGGTTTTATATGAGATAAATTTATTCATAAATATACTTTTTTCAAGGAGTTAGTGATTTTATTACTTAAAGGCTAATAAAAAGTTAACATTCTTGCTGAAAGTATTTTTTTGTTGTTGTTTTTGAAACTTGCCAGTTTGTTCTCAACATACAGGGCTAGCAGTAAATTACAGGTGAAATTCTAGGTATATTAATTGGGTGGTCTCAGTGATTTTGAGTTTGAATGAGTATATTTTAAAAATTTTGTGTTTGAAAGTCACTCCTGAAAGATACAGATAGAATAAGAAATGTACCACTATAGTACTGATTTTTAGAGGGAAATTTTCTCAAAAGCCTTCAAATTTACTGCATTATAAAATACTCATACATTTTTAAAGAAATATAGCAATGTTCTTGAGTGACAAAAACAATGAACTTTACAGAAATAAATAGAAAATCAGAATATTTGTTTGAACTGATTAACTACTGAAGACTAACATCTAGTCAGATGGCTTATAATCAACATACTAGAAATAGATTGTATTCAGCTGTGTCCTTCTTACTAGATATCATATAAACATTAGTCAAAGGAGAAATACGGGTTTTGAAAGATAAAAAACTACTCTCATTTCTGTGATTAGAATCCCAAATGCTTGTATAGCCATAGCAACTACTTGTTTGTAGCTTAGCTCCAAGTGATTTTCCAATTTATCTTGCCATTTACCCCATTACTTTCTGATTATACAATATTTGAGCGTGAGGAACTATTCTTTTCATTATTATTTTAAGACTCGTATGTTACTTTAATATAAAGAAAAAGCATTCTGTATTTTGTTAATTCAGTTTTTCAGTTTTATGCAGTTGTAAATTCCATCTTAAGTTTCATATTGACAAGTTGTTTAATGCAAGAAAAGATACCGCCAAATTTTACATTAAGGTATTTTCCTTATTAAGACTAGGTAGTAAATCAGAGTTTCATTATCAGAGTACCCTTTTAAAGCAAAAATATAATAATAAGTGTTCAATTTTTTTTTTTTTTTTTTTTTGAGATTGTCTCATTCTGTCACCCAGGCTGAAGTTCAGTGCCATGATCATGGTTTACTGAAGCCTTGAACTCCTGGGCTCAAGTGATCCTCCTGCCTCAGCTTCCTGAGTAACTAAGGACTATAGGCATATGTCACCATGCCTGGCTAATTTTTAAAAAAAGTTTTTTTAAAGATTGTCTTGCCATTTTACCCAGGCTAGTCTCAAACTCCAGGGCTCAAGCAGTCCTCCCTCCTCGACCTCCCAAAGTGCTGGGCCACTGCATGTGGCCCAATAATCAACGCAGTTAGGAACTTATATTTAGATTGTGATTATTTACATTTATTTATTGATTGATTGACACAGAGTCTCACTCTGTCACCCAGGCTGGAGTGCAGTGGCTTGATCTCAGCTCACTGCAACCTCCGCTCCTGGGTTCAAGCAAATCTCAGGTCTCAGATACCCAAGTAGCTGGGATTACAGGCATACGCCACCATGCCTGGTAAATTTTTTTGTATTTTTAGTAGAGACGAGTTTCGTCATGTTGGCCAGGCTGGTCTCAAACTCCTGGCCTCAAGTGATCTGCCCACCTTGGCCTCCCAAAGTGCTAGGATTACAGGCATGAGCCACTGTGCCCAGCCTGTTTACTTTTAAATACAGTGATTGATAAAGGCTCAAATTGTGAAGTTTTTCATACCATTTAATCAGATCATTCTGGTATTTTAAGTACATGTTGAGAGACTACATTGTTTATTCTGTTATGTGAATGCTCATAATTACCAGGCAATAGAAAACTATAGTGTTGAGATTATGTATACAGCAGTTTTCAGCTATCACTTCTTAGTTTTAAACACCTGGAGCATGTACATGTGTGTTTTCATTCTATCATTTTGTTTTTATATCCGTTTTTCAGATATAATTCTTATATGTCATGCTTTATAATAGATTACTATGTCTGGACTATAGCTTTAAGAAATAGCATTATACCTATTTATAAAACAGTTATAAAAACTTAAATCGTAAAAGGAAGGATGTGAAGTGAACATTCTGAGTTCCTCTGCTCTTGAACAATATTGCTAATGAATTTAACATTTTAGTACATATCAGGGTAGCTGCTTTCATTTTAATACTTCATAATCACATTAGAAACTCACCTTGTGATAATTTTAAGAAGCTTTTTTTAGGATTTCATTTTTACATTTTAGGATTTCATTTTTCAATTTTAAATCTAGCCACAACCAGATTTACAAGTGTTAGAAAATGTTGCTCTTTTGAGTATTGGCAAGATCCGTGGTTTTGAAAAACCCAGGCAAAAAATCTTTTATGACAAACCATTTTCTACTCTGTGTATCATAGCCTGACATTTGGGAAAACAATGCAAATTGTGGATTTTGAAGTAAATTTTTGAAAGGACTTTTCTCTTCGTATATTTCTTTCCCTTCAGTCCAGCTTCCATTAGGAGTATCTCCATTGTTTTAGTGTCTGGAATATAAAAACTAAGCCTTTGGTTAGGATACAGTGAGAGATTGTGTAATACATCATTCTTGCATGGTCCAGATTACCCACCCATCTGTCCCGCATCAGCCACAGTCCACTTCCTATCTTTTCCTGCTTGGTTTATTTCCTTTGTTTCTTTGGAGGAGGTAGTAGTTCTTAACTTCTTAATTCTTTTCTTTTTCATACATGCAGAAGAGTATATTCAATATGTATGTGCAGTTTAAAAAAAAGGATTAATGTCAACAGTTTCACTTGAATGAGAAATATAAATATACTGAAAATTATTTGTCTCAAGGAGCAATAACTTTCCTGTGACTAGATCTATAGTCTACTACTGAAATTAGAATTAACTTTAGTACTCATATAAATTTGTGATATAAATTACACATTCTATGATAATCATAATTTTGACATTGTATACAATGTTCTTACCTATATTAAGTAAAATGAAAGACAGTTTTTCCTATTTTTATCCATTGTCTAAGCTTATCATCAGAAAACAGAATACCGCACATTTTTTTCTGTCAGCCATATATTTCTATAAATAATAAAGCAGAAAAAGAATATTACTTTTTTGGGATGCTGTGTATCTTGAAATACAATATAGGTTTCATGGGTACACATGCAATGGAGTTACTAATTTTATATTTTATGTCATTTGACATAGTTTCTTTAAGGGAATCACTGTACAAAAACGTCTATGCAAAATTTGCCATATCTTTTAGTAGCAGAAGTTGAAGAAGAACTTCTTAAACTCTACCTTACATGTCTGTTCAGTTTTAATTCATTAGGGAACATCATCTATGTATCTGAAACCGTGTATTGTTTCTCAGATACAGAGTCATAGTTTCATTGCTTGTTTGGATAGTTTAATAGGTTATAGAGCTAGAACAATGAGGATTTGTGGCTGGGGGGGGTTGTGTCTGTTTCTGATGTTACTTATGGCACTTAATTTCAATCTGTAAAACATTTGTAATTCCTACTTTAATTTTATAGATCAAGGATAAATTAATATATATATCACCTTAAAAATACTCTGTAGGTAGACATTATACCAAAGAGCCAGCAATTATTGTAAATGACACTGTAAATCACAAAAATGTTTTTAAGAAATATCCTGCAAATTAAGTTTTAAAAGCTCTATCAGAGACTGGTTAGTTAAGCCATTTTGTTACAAGGATTTATCAAAGGTCCCTTTCAGCCATAAAAATAGGTGATTCTTGATCATTTTGTGTACTGGGACTTGAACAGAAGATGCTGTATGCTACTGAAAAATAAAGTATCCATAATGTGACAGATAGGTGTCAGGGTATGCCTGGCTCTTTTCTTCGTAATGAAAAATTGAGCATTTTGTGAAGAGGGAATAATAATAAACTAAATCATTTTAGCTAGAAATTATAAAATAGTATTACCTTGCCAGATGGAACAAAATCACTAGGCCTTAAGTTGAAAAATCGAAATAATAGTGTTTTTGTTATTAATGTTAACTGTATTTTGAAAGCCCTTCAGGATAATTATGCTAACAAGTTCAGGTATGCTGTGACCAGTAACTTTTAGACCTTATTTTTACCAACCCCATTTGAAATCTGTAGATCCTCTTCCAGAAAAATAGGCACATGCCAGAATATTTTGCCTATTTTTCCAAAGAGTTTGTGGGTCCCAGTTTTAGAATCCAGTTGTATACCTTGCCAAACGAATTTGCCAGTATTTATTCACATTTGCTCCCTTTGAAGCTAAGCACCTAATAGAATTCTAATCTAAGATCATTAATATTTATTGAATACCTAATATATGCCTGGCATCTAGATAAATACGATTGATTTCTGATAAAAGTTTTCCTGATAAGGAAACGTTTTAGATATTACTGTGAGGAGGTAGGCTTCATTTTACTTGTCAGTGTTTTTTGAGACCTGTCTTACTATTTATTGAGAAATAGTCTATGGAAAGGGCAGAAAAAAAATTCATTCTTCTTCCTTTATTCATATGTTTAACTGTAATCACCCACTTCCAAAATAGCCCCAATTGCTAGAGAATAGATAATCTATTGTGATAATCTTTGAATTCCATGTTAAATATATTAGGAAAGAATCTATTCTAATATGTTTTAGAGTGTTGCAGGAACTGTAATATTTTCTTAGAGAAGTTTTTTTTTCGTAGGTGCTTTAGTTTCAAAGTTATTGAGATTTGAAGAATGCTTATACGGATTAAGGTAGTTTTAAAATATTTCTATAGATGATATAACCATTGTATTTAGCATTTTAATTTCATAAAAATTATTTTTAATTTTAGGAACAAGAGTTGAATGCTCGAGCCCGGGCCCTACAAGCTGCATCTGCTTCATGTTCATTTCGGCCCAATGGATTTGATGACAATGACCCACCAGGAAGCTGTGGACCAACTGGTGGAGGGGGTGGAGGAGGATTTAATACAGTTGGCAGACTCGTATTCTGATCCTGAGAGAGTCCAAAATGCACTGGTCACGAAACATCTAATACTATGACTGTTAAAATGTCACAGACTATAACAAATATCTATCTTTTATTTTTCATTAGACCCTTATACTTCAAGAGAACACATTCAGTGCTTGTTTTTATTTTCTTGACACATTTATTAACAAAATGCATCATGGAAAAAAAAATCTACCTCTTAAAATTCCATTTGCTTTTATGGTTAGACATGCTTGACCAAAAATGTTCAGAAGAAAATATGTACCTGGTCCCTAATTAAGCTGCATTAAATTTGATAGAAGCATTTAAATGGTCTATCTTCAGTTTTACTGAACAAAAAATGTAATTTATTTAGCATTCTTTATAAAAGAATTGATGCTAGAGGTAAAAAAAAAAAATACTTGTTTTTAAAAAATCCTTTATGTCTTGTGTAATTACCCCATTATTAAATTCAAGTCTTTAAAAATCAACTAGAGATGATAAAGTCTCTAAGGAAGGCAATAACAAAATTTATCAAGATATAGTACTTTTCAGTTTTTGTGTAGTGTCTTCAGCATCACTGTATCTGTATTTCAAGTACAAATGTTTTTAAAAAGGATTCTTTATACATATGTGCTGAATTGATTTTAAGAAAGTTGCATGATCCTGTAGGAGCAACATTTTTACCTAAAAAATGCTAACTTTGTAGTATTTCTAATTGTTCAAGGATTTTAAAATTCTATTTCAGGGAGTATATCTTCTGTGTGTTTTGAAGGAGGTGAGTTCTGTATGTGCCTTGCAGTACTGTAATTCAAAAATAGGAATCTTTGGCTGCGAAATGTTTTTTTTTTTTTTAATGAAATGTTAGGAAGTAATTTTTGTGCTAACATTAAAATTATAACTTTTTGAAAGGTAATAGATTTTCCTTAAGTAAAATCTGATGGTTCTAAATCAATCAATGTGATAGTTCATTTTTAACTCTTAGAAGAATTCAGAGGAAATGAACCCAGCTAAGTATAAAATCTTTCTTGATTTTGTTACTTATTCCTCAGAATATTAAACATTGATCACATATTTTTAGAGTTGTACATTTGGGTTTTTTGTTTGTTTCAGTCATATGTTTTGCACCGTTGTTTCTATTTTCATAGTTCTAGATAAAATGTTAAAATGCCAAACCCTACCTTTCTACACTTTATTTTGCCAGGAAACTGGAAACATGTCAGTTCTCCTGGTTCTTGATTATACAGTACTCAAGAGTTATCCCAGTTATCCCCCTTCCAAAAGGTTTTAACTTATCCACAGTTGTTCATTGTTCTCAAGATTGGTCTCATATTTATTTTGAAAACATTTTAAGGAAAAGAATGTTCTTCGATGATTTGGGGTTTATCTTTTTCCCAAGCTTTTATGGCAGTGGTTAAAAAAAAACAGAAATCCTCATGTTTATTCCACTACCTCCCATTCCTAACCTGTTTCCAGTCACCAGGAAGATTAGGAAGGCGGATTAGATTAAAAACTGAAAATTCTTTGCAGATTTAATCAAGGTTCTCCTCCTTATAAATGAATGAACCAGTTATCATGCTTTTCTGTGGTCTTCTTATCCCAATAGTGAATTTCTGAGCTATCCTGTGTATTCAGTTATCCACTTACTTGATAGCAACTTATGATCAGATTATATCAGTCTTGGCATTTATTGAAATTGGTAAAGTGATTTAATATTTGATAGATTGATATTGGGCTAAGATGCTTCTAGCAACTTTCATAAAAGCAATTAGACTTACGCAGCTTTATCTATGAATATCAATCAGGTATCTCAAGGATTTTATGTATCAAGATAATATGTATTGACTTTTTTAAATGATAAAATGAATTCTAGTTAGAGTCTTTCCTTAGTGTCTGCAGTGGATTGGTTCCAGAACACCATCCCCCAATATTAAAATCCACAGATGCTCAAGTCCCTTATTTATATAAAATAGCACAGAATTTGCATATAACCTATGCACATCCTCCCATATACTTTAATCTCTACATGATGAGATATGATTGCATAGCACTTACATTGTGCTATGTAGTTGTTATATTGTTTTTTCATTTGTGCTATTTTTTATTACATTTATTGGTTTTTTAAATTTTCTATCCAAAGTTGTTTGAATCTACGGATACAGAGCCTGAGGATATGGAAAGCTGACTGAATATAGTAACACTGAGAGTATTCAAATAACTTCATACCAGTACCAAAAACTTGAAGACTTCCTTTTAACATTAAAAATATAGTAACCTTTTACATGATTTGTTGAATTCAAAATATTTGGAACCAGAATAATCAGAAATTTCATTCAAAACCTGTGCAGCTGAACTTTTTTAGTAAGGTAATACTCAGGACTGCTCTGATTCTAACAGATCCCTGTGACTTAATTACAGATTTATTTGTCATATTAGGTCTTTTCTTTCTCCCATATTCCTAACTCTTGTGCTTAGCTCCAACTCTTGTGAGATTTAACTCTGAAGACTGAGTAGAGTGCTATTGCTGTTTGTCTTTCCTTTAGTCCACAGTAATCAGTTTAAATGAAGTTGCTTATTACTGCTAAGAAGCATTAGGCTTCACTGCTAGCAAAAATGAAAAACTGTAAATCTGAGTCTGTTTCTTTCAAAGATGTTTATTGACACAAAGTAAAAAATTGTTTAGAGATATGCAAAGAAGGAAATATATAGGATATCACACAAGCTCTGATAATCTATCCACTAAGCAGGTGCCTATGCAACTCTGATTTATGGCATTAACATATCTCAAATTGGAAGAAGGATTCTAGCTCATTCTCCATTCAAGCATCTTCCCACTGCCTCTCTTCCAGCTAAATAATCAGAGAAGCAGGGCAGCATATGCCTGGAGATCCCTTTTATCTCCATACCTTAAATTGTTGATAGATCCTTTGGATGTAGAGATAAAAATCCATCATGATGTCTAGAGGTATTGGGGGGGTCCATGTGAAAGGTTCAAACAACCTATTACATATAACGCACATCTGGAAAGAATAAAAATTTTCAAGCTAAGTCTTAAGTTCAAATCTATATTTTTTTCTCTTCAGTTCTGTTCTTTGTATGATAATATTTACAAAAGTAGTTGTCTTCTTTTCACATACTACCTCTTTAAAGCTATCATCTTATAATAAGTGGAATTGGATGCTTATTGTGTGCCCAGCACAGTTTAGGAAAAAAATAATTGGCATAGTTTCTCCAGTTACTGGAAATCTTCATTTTGATGCTTTGTACTTTGTTCCAGGTCTTTAATTCTCAGTCAGTCTTTTCCTATATTGTGTACTTCACATGATACATTCCATATAAAGAGCTCTTTTAAAATGAATATTTCAAAAATACTGTACATTTATAGTATTTTTTCTCATACAAATTCGATAGTTTATATATCCTTTCATCATACATTTTTTCTAATGAGTTTAGATTTCTGAAACTAAATATTCCTGAGGTAGAGAAAAGTTAATTCACATTTTACAAAAACATACTAGGAAATGCTAACTGGTTGTTGTTAGCAACTCAGTAACATCGCCCAGAGGAGTAAGGTTAAATCTTAGATAATGCAAACCTGTAACTAAGAAGTTAAAGTTCAACAGTAAGGAAATTTGAATTAAAAGTTGCTATCCCAAAAAAACAAATAATTCTAAAATATAAGCTGTTTCATATGTATATTCTTAAGTTTTATCAAACTGTTATGTATCTTCAGTGTTATCCTAAGTTAATTTTCTTAGAGTCCTTTTTTAGAAGTGAACAAACCTCAAAATGAATGGGGGATTAAAAAAACAAACTGCTTTAAAAAAACTAGCTTGTTTTAAAAAAAAAAGCTTTCCCATATGAAGAAATTTGTACAGAAATAATTTTTAAAGAAATGAGAATCAAGATTTTCATAAAATCAGCAATCTAGGTTTCACAAATTCAAAAGAATTTATTATATAAAACCATTAGCCCCACTGTTACATAACCAGTGTGGACTTAACATTAAAAATAGAATCTAAGAAGTCAGCCAAGTGTATTGCCAGCTCTCGTCAGTGTCTGTTACGACCTGCAGTTGTTTTTCTCTTCATGGAGCTCATGTTTTCATGTTTTGCTTGTGTTGTTGACACGTGCACGTGCACACACACACACACACACCCCCCTTGATTTCAGAGGGTGAAAAATTTAGCCTTTCCTGGCCAGATCATCAGTTTTTAACCTTGCATTTCATGTTAAAATCACTTGAAGAGCTTTTTAAAAATAATACCATGCCCAAGCCTCATCCCAGACCAATTACATTATGTGGAGACTGGGCATCAATGTTTTTTGAAGTTCCTCACATGATTTTAATGTGCCACCTGGGTTGAGAACTGGACTACAAAAGGAATTTCTTCCCCATAGGTCTTTCGTTCAAGGGGATTATTAACATATGTCAAGAGTCTACCGTGTGCTGGCAGATATTTATGTCTTTTTAACTTATACCAGCCCTGTAAGTGGGCTCATACCCATATCCTCCCTCACCTCTTAATGGACAAAGAAAATAAAGACTCTGATTAAGGAACTTGCTCAACATCGTGCAACTAGTAAAAATCAGAGCTGAGATTTTAACCCAAGTCTTCAGAGCTCCAAAGTCAATATTCTAATGGAGCACAGGACTTAAGCAAATTACATATTAACAAAAGCTTAACAATGAATTTTGTAAAATGAAATATCAGTGTTTCCCTTATCCTTCTGCACTCCAAACATGATTCCTTAAGAAAAAAAAAGAAAAAGAAAAGATCTACTTTGTTAAAACCTATATGTGATAATCTAAAGGGTTGAGAAATGTGGTTCTTAAACTCATTTGTTATACCCGCTTAGTTTCTGTTTGCTTTACTAGGCTTATCTCTTCCATTCTTGCCTTTATGCCCTCTCTCATGCATATTGGACCTTGCATCATGTTTTTTCACACAGCACCATATACTTGCCATCTCGAGACCTTTGCACATTCAGGTCTCAGGATAGCATACCTTATGCTACTTTCTCTTCCCAGCTTTCAGCGGACTAATTAATTGCCTCCTACCTCCATATGTTCATATCTTCTCATACTGACCTCCCAAGCTGATTAGTCTCCCCCTTTATCCTGAGGTGTGTATTGTGCTTCCCTTTGAGAAGGCCATGGCTTAGCAATGGGGCTAAATTAGCACTGAAGTAAAGGCTAATCCTTTACAGTATAAAGTTTACACCCAACAAAGATTAAAAGTAGGTCTTAAAAGGATCAAATTCTAATGCTGGTTAAATTCTTTAAGTAATTTAACTGCATACAGAACAAATTGCAATCTCTTTAAGGAAATGCAGTATACATACCCAGCATTGGTATTGTGAAGTAAAATTCACAATATCCAGCATCTGATCAAAAAGTATGAGGCATTCAAAGAAGGAAAAAAATCCAGAAATTATGGAAAGAAAGGAATTTGCGAAGTAGGAGCTTAAAAGGAATGTAGAAAATCATGAGCACAGTGAAGAGAAAAATGGAGGATCCAAGAGTCCATTATCCAAGAGAAAATTAAAAGCACCCAGAGGAAAAGAATATGAAGTCAGGAAACAATACACAGCCCACAGGTCAAGTCTATCCTGCGTCCTGTTTTTTCATAAGTAAAGTTTTATTGGAGCACTGCTATACCTGTGACATATTGTGTATGGCTGTTTTTACACTACAATGGTAGAACTGAGTAGTTATGACAGAGACCATATATATTAGTCTGTTTTCATACTGCTATAAAGAACTGCCTGAGACTGGGTAATTTATAAAGAAGAGGATTAATTGACTCGCAGTTCTGCATGACTTGGGAAGCTTCAGGAAACACAATCATG